GGCATGGGGTCCAGCAGCAGTAAGCCAAGCTCACCAGTATTGGCTACACCCAACAGGGCCCAAGGGCCCAACTCCAGCATCCTTCTGTTGCATGGAGGGCTGGATAGAGAGGCTCTGTGGGCCGTATGCTTAATACCACTGATCAAAACCAGCAATGCCCGATTCATCTGGCCCCATAGGCTGGCAGAATGGTGTACATAGAGCTATGACATCTGGCTCACGGGGTTCTCAAAGGGTCTGGAAATTTGGCAGCAGTTCCACAGCTGCTGCTGTCTATCCCACTGCCTTTCTGGACCCATGGGGAGCCTTGCAGGATGGATGACACGGCCATTGGGCCATGTCTTGGTCACTTTTTGTCTAAAACTCTGGAAGAAGTGAGCAAACACTTTTGGTAAAGAAGGGCACTGTGTGTCCAAAAGCTTGTCTAACAACTCCCAGCTGCACAGTTGGTCCAGTAAGAGATATTACCAACCCCACTCCACTTCCTGTTATATTGAAGCTTGTGTGAACTTTGCTACTGACTTGGATGGTGCCAGGATTTCACTCTATTTTTAGGGCTGTTTCTTAACATCACATATGTTGTTCAAGCATCAAGTGATTCTTTGCAGGTGGAGTCTAGAGGCTAGTGTCAGAAATAAGTGGTAATTTGTTGGACTTTCCAAAGGGCTAAGCCAGAAAGAAAAGCAATAACACAACTAATATACTATATTATGTTAGCTGGAAAAATAAATCCCCAGGGCGTTTGTTTGGGGTTTATTTGTTTCTTCCTTTTAAAAAAGGTGAAGTACAGGCTTGACCCTCAAAACTTTTGCTTATGTGAAGAGTCATTTGAGTAATTACATCTGTGGCAAAAGGGATATTATATTGTCCTTCAGTAGGGGGTTGCAAGATCAGGCCCTGTATTTTGTAAAATAAAAGAAATGTGTTTAAGTAAAATCATTAACAAAAAGGGAAAAGCTTGCTCTGTGAAGACTACCAATATCCTGTTGATAAGATTAATTAAAAGAATTAACAGAAATTTGGCAAGGAAGAACATTGTTCCCCTTGAAATAAGTGGAACAAGCAGATTACTTTGAAACCTGATGTTTGTCAAGTTTTTAAAGTAGATTTTTAAACATTCAGAAATGATTGGGAGAGAAATAAAAATAAGTGCCAGATGTCAGGTTTTCAAATAAGACCTCTACTATCCCCCAGAGGTGGGTGCCTGTGAAAACTGACCCTTGCTGTGTTTCTGCCCAACACCAGCCCATTTCCTCAGAGGCTATGTTAGTCTAGAAGTGGGATCAGACAGCAAGGACAGAAGAATAATCAGGGGTTATGTTAGAGGCAGGGGATTAAATTAAAGGCCTACCATTTCCCAAGAAAGGTGGGCGTGTTGTGGCAATGAAAAGAAAGCAATACAGTGTCTCCATTTTCCTGGTTTAAAAGAAAAAAAATTATTTGGAAACTAATATTAGTGTTCCAATTCCAGGGCTTTTCCCACTAATTAGTGTGTTTGTTGTACAATTTTGATTTATTTATAAGCACTTAATTCATTAATAATCTTAATGATTTCAAAGAGTTGTACCCCCCGCCTTCTCTCTTTCATTGTCTGACTTACTGCTGCATTAGGGGAGTACATCTAGGGCTCAGTGAACAACTGTTCACCAGACTGCCCTTGGGGGGAAAACCAGGAGTAATGGCCACAAAATCCTGGAAGACTGTTCCAGGCTCAACATTAGGAAAAAATGTGTTTGTAGTCAAGGTGTTCAGATTGTGGAATAAACTCCCTCCAGAGGTGGCACAATCACTTACCCTGGAGATCTTTAAGAGGAGACTGGACTGTCACCTTGCTGGATGGTCACCTGATCCCAGTCGTCTTTCCTGCCTGGTGCAAGGGTCCAGACTCAATGATCTTCTGAGGTCCCTTCCAGCCTTACAGTCTGTGACTCTTAGTAACAAAATTGCAGCTTCTGGAAAAAGCTCAGAAATGGGCATGAGCAAGTTGAAGTGATAGGAAATAATTTTTAATAAAATGTTTTACGTTGTTGCATATTATTATTTTATAGGAAAACAAATTAAGTGCTCTCTCTCTCCAGTTGTCACAAGTTATTATATCAAATAAATCTTGATGAAATATATGATTTTCAGGTATCTCCATGTATGTGAACTATTTTTTTTTAATCTTGCAGTGACTAAAGGTAAAGATGTAGAAATCTCTATGGTGAAGCACCTTAGAACGGGTTTGGAAGATAAATATGATATAGTTGAAAAGTGGCTTTTGAAAGATCTGGAGATGATTGATGGAAAAGAAGCAGATACTGTAAGTGCTGTATTTTTACTGTAAATTACTATTAACATGATGCACTTGTCTGCTAATGTAATGATGTGCTAAATAGTACTTTTACTATAAAAAGTGACTCTGTAGAAGTGGCATCAGAGGGTTTTAGGTAGATGGGCTTCAGATTATATTTGCTGTATTTAGAAGAAGGAAAAAAAAAAGTTGTTTGTCATGCTCTGAAATCAGTTGAGTCAAGGTGGGTTATTTCTGGTTTGCGTGTCATTACCAATAGTGAAGAGTCTTCAGATTCTAACTGCAGAGTCTCTCCACACCCAAAATTACACTAGTGAGAACTAACAATTGAAATGTTTCAAACCCCTTTGAAACATTTAGATAAGCTGTGCAAGTGTACATGCCCTTTGAAGTGTCCCAGGAGCAGCCCAAGCTCTGGAAAAAAAATAGTACCAAATTTAGATGCTATTTTGTAGTATTTCATTTCTTGCTGTGTGTACAAGGTCAGGGAGAAAGAGCATGAGGAGGACAGTCTTTAGGTTGGAGAGAGAGCCTGCCAGATTGTGCGCTTGCCAGTTCCTAGTCCCTGGTCCCAGCTGCTTTTGCACTTGGGGGGCGGGCCTCTGGCACTGGGCTCTTTAGGCCCAATCCCCTCTAGCTGTCCTCTTTGAGAAGAGGGGGAATGAAAAGGTAGATGAGATTGGGAGTGGACTGTCAGCAAGTATCCTAACACTGGAGAGCTAGGGAGTCAGTGCTGCCACTCCCCTGCCCCTACATACTTCTGAGACATTTGCCCCCTCTAGTGTCCCTCAGCTCAAAAGCAATGGCTGAATGTAGCTGTGACAATTTTGAAGTGTTCCAGCCATGTGGGGAGGGGGGTGTGCCACAAGGACTATACATGCGTTCTCCCAGCTGAAACAATTTCCTTCAAAATGTTTCCAAGCGCATTGCACTTGGAAATTTTAGAAGTTCCTTTTGTTTGCAGCCTCTGGCCATTGAAACTCTTTGCAGGGCCAGCTGTAGAAGATATGCCTTTTGAAGTGTCCCAAAAGCAGCTGGATTACTCCAAGAGAGTAACTCTTGAAATGAGACACTGTTTTAAAGCATTTCACTTTTTGCTACTTGTGCATGGGGACAGGGAACTCAAATCCTCCCACAGTGCTCTGCTCTTGCATCTCCTCCATGTGGGAGGGAAGGAGAGTGGCAGGGACAGTTAGGGTAGGCTGAATGAAGGCTTATCAGCTGCCTGGCTGTCAGGTCTTCTCACTGTTGGAGCTTCTAATACCATTTGCCTGCATCCACGCACACTTTGGTCCTGCCAGACCATGAGGTCTGCACTGCTGCTGAAGCTGGAGTCTCCAGGCCCCAGGCCCTTCTCTCTCTTTGGCTCTGGGAGAGGAGAGGTTTGGGAGAGGGGGGGGGTTGGAGAGCCAGGTATCCCAGCAATGGGGCACCCCTACAACCACAAGCCCTCACAGTTCCGTCACGACATGTGGTCCCCAAGGATGGCTGATGCCCCTAGAGCTCTGTGACCATGCCAGTCTTTCCCAGCGAGCACACTTTTACTCACTTGCCACATCTTGCTGGTAATTAAAATAGGGAAGTTGGCCTCAAGTTCATGTTTGGACATAGTCCTGATGGACCTCACTGAGCCTTGTGGGTTCTTGGACCCCTTTTTGGGTTCCGCTCAAAATGGATGCCTCATGGGACACCCTCAGCCTTATGAGCTAGATACATGGCTCCAAATATTACCCCTTTACCACATCCCAAGCCTCACAGATGGTATTTAAATGTTTCCCCTCTGAGGCCTTGCTATAGCTCAGCCTCCTTCATCCCTGGGCTCTTCACAGCTGTCTCCATGCCCACACTGGCACTGGGCCTGCTGGCACTGTGGCCCCAATGAGGCCTCCTCCCCAATAGCCTCAGCTCAGTCCACCAACTTATAAATACCAACCAAAATATGAGCCCCTGTACTATAACATAATACCACCAGTTCAGGGTGCATTCTGTCCCTTTAAGAGACAGAAACTTCTCCCCAAGCAATAAGTACCTTGTATCCCAGGGTACCTGGTGAGCTCCTAGAGTCCCATTAGTTCTACATGCAGCAGATCAGATGGCCACAGCATCTTTGGGCAGTTTTTCTCTGGCTGCTGCCAGAAAAGTAAACCCCTCAGCCCTGGGGTTTATATGTGCCATGGGCCCTGCCTTCTTCCGGTCAGCTGTCAGGGTGCAGGCGCAGGCTAATTCCCTTGTTAGTCTGCTGCCATAGTAACCTGCAGCTGTGGGGTTTCCCTCTGGCTCCTAGGGCCCACTCCCTAGGCAGTTTCTGATCTTAAAGGAGCAGGCACTTTAGTACCCTGCGACACTCCCAAACCCCCACTAGACTCCTGTGCCCCCAACACTGGCCTAATGCCAACCTCTCCTTGCCTCTGCTGCCAGATTCCTGCATGCTCCCCACTACCACTGGAGCTGGCATCCTGGCTGTCTTTTCTCCAGTCCCCATCTCTCTCCATTCCTGCAGCCTTTTGTGGTAACCCCTGGCTAGAGAGCAAACAGCTGCATGTGACCATCATGATTTTGAAGCACTCCACCCAGGGGCATGACAGGGGCTGCATTTATGCCCCCTGGCTGAAGCACTACCCTTTTGCAGTGTTCCCAAGACCATTACACTTGGAAGCATTAAAAAAATTACTTCTGTCTGCACCTTAAATTTAACCCTTGACCTTCATTGGAGTTGCCTAGAAGTAACTGAAGACAGGGCACAATCTTAAGCTTTGAACTTGTGGCCCCATTATTTTATGAATGGAAAGAATTTGAATAGAAGATGAGCGTCCCAGAATTTCAGCTTCCAGATTTCCATATAAATACCTTTCTTTGGAAGGAGTAGTTTGTTGATTTACCTGCAGCTGGGAGTTGTGCCTTCCCAGCCACTAGCACAGGGACACACCCGGGCATCTGGGGCACAGGGTCAGCAGTGACTTCTGGTTGCTGTGCCATTGCAGCCGCTTCTTTTTGCCCCCCTCCAAGTCAGTGCCCAGGGTGTTGCTCCTTTTGCCATGCCATAGTTATGCTGCTGCCCTCAACATCCACAAGTGCTTGAAAGTTCTGCAGAAGGCAAGGAACATTTTCCTGGAGTTGTGTTTCCTGAGATTCCTCAGATCTTGCCTACCCTGAACATTTCCCCATGCTTCACAGTGTAGCGGGGCAGAGACAGGTCACCTTCTGTGCCCTGACTTAGAACAGGGTCTAGAACCTTTTGCTCAGAAAAATATAATAGCTTCTGTATGGACACTTGCGATGGTTTTGTTCCATGAAGCTTACACCAAAAGGATACCACCTAGTGCTGATTTATCCTTTCTCTGAGGCTATCCCAGGACTAAGGCAGGCTGAGGGACTTACTGGTAACACAGCTATAATAATCTTTACACCTATGGTGGAATTATAAGGGCTGGTGACACTCTAGAGCAGGGGTGTCAAACTCACTTGACTCTCCCAGGCTACATCTGGACTGCAGGGCTCTTTGTGGGCTGTATCTGGACCTACCTCTGGCAATGGGGCAGCACTAGTGGGGGGAGGGCAAGTGACATCAAGGAGCCATGGGGGTGAATGCAGGCAAATGTTTGACACTCCTGCTGTCAACCAGTGTTTCTCAACCTGTGGGTCATGACCCAAAAGTGGGTTACAAGACTGTATGAAAGGGTTGCAAACAAACTTTAAAAATGGATCAACAAACTTAAAAAACAGATTCTTCTTTAAAGGAGAAAAACCTGAGAAACCTGGCTTTTCTATTACAGCCTGCAAGGGGCTGCTTGGAGGTCCCCTGTGCCCCCCCTGCCCCACACACCTACGCGCTGCCCCACACACTGCGGGGCTGGGGCCTGGGGTGGGGGCAGTGGGTTGGGAGTGAGGGGCACTGGGTCAGGACTAGCTATCGATGTTTACAAATGGGTCCTGGTACAAAAAGGGTTGAAACCCACTGCTCTAGAGACAATTCTCAATGAGTCTTCTCCCATAAATTTTTCTACAGAAAGTAATGACCAAGGGTCTGGGTTTTCTGTTCAGCATGGAAAAATGCAGCAAAACATGGGGTTTTATATTTTAAGGAGAAAAACGTGATTTTATCTTTTTAAGGAGAAAAACTTGGATTTCTCTTTAAAGGTAGGGCAGGGGCGGGCAGGGGCTGTGGGTCAGGAGGGGCACAAGCAGGGCCACAGGGCTGTGAGTGGGGAGTGAGGGGCAATGGCATGGGCAGGACACCGGCATATCAGGGCTGTTCAGCACTACAAAGCGGAGGGGGGACGACGAGGACAGCCACAGCTAGACCCATGTCCTGGTGAGCAAACGGGGTAGGGGGAGCTCTATTTTTCCATGCTAAACCCAAAATCAATTGCCAAAATGTATAGGTATCTAGAATGTATTTTATTATAGTGATTGAGGCACTGGTGGGCTTCCAAATTGGTTTACAGTTGTAAATATATTAATAAAAAATTGTGTTCAACTGATACCTGTATGTATATATAGTGGCATTTCATTTTAATCATGGAAAAATGTAGATTTTGGGGTTTTAAGCAGAGAATTTGTGACTTTTTAAATCAGAGAATTTGCAATTTTTAAACAGGGAAAACCAGGATCCTTGGTAATGACCTAGATTTGTCTTACTGTTTCTAGTGAAAAACATTAGTCCCAAAGTCATTAGTAGAAGATATGGTTAATGACATTCCTAAAATGTAATGCAACTTGTTAATTTTAAAATGACTGTACACATGAATAGAGATGCTCTGCAGTATGAGGAGAAAGGGCAACCAGTACTCTTCATTTGACATGGAACGTGCTTTGGCATATGGTACATTTTAGACAATCCTATGATGGTGCTTTAAAATAATTTCATATTATTGTCTTGAATTGTAATGTGCTCATTAGCCAAATCCAGAAATTCTTACTCAAGCAGAAACGCTCCTCCTGCTCAAGTTTTACCTGAGTGAGGACTGTTTAAGAATTGCTGTGTTGGGGCCAGTTAGTATAATTTATTTAGGCTTGGCAGGATTTTATTTTTATTGGTAAACATTGATAAATGTTTATTTCACCTCACACTCATAGACTGAGGAAAAAGTATTTGCATCATTAATAATTTAAATTTATAGAAAAGGGATGTAAGAAAAATGATGACAGATGAAATATGTGACAGTGGGGGAGGCAGTCCTACAGAACCATGTTGACTGTAGTTTGTACTGCAACTCCCAGAAAACCCAGGAGACTGGGAACAAAGGAAGAGGAAGTGACAAAGTGGACAAGGAAGTTACAAGTAAGTGGACTTGGGACTGATGGCAGCTCTACCACTCAGCTGGCAGCAGTCCTACAGTAGCTATGTTTGTTGTGGTGGGAGGTTAAACTGCACTATAATTATAGTATACTGTCAGTAATAAATTGTCTCCCCCCCACATACTACTTTTGCACAATCCTTAAAATTTAAATCAATAAAATTTAAATAAATGCTTAAAGATAAACATCAATTTTATCTGTCGATATTGCAAAAAAATAAAATAAAACATTGAATTTAGCCAAGCCTAAATATATTATAATAGGAACATTTATGGATTGTGGATGTATTTCTAAGGCCCTTGGCTTATATCTTTTTTAATCCATTAAAGTGAGACAAATGACAAAGTAACTGAGCATGAAACAATAAAAATATCACGGTAGTGCAATAATAATCTAATTCTCTCTGTGTTATTTTAGGATAACCCCTATTTTGATATGCACTTCGAGAAAGTCTACAATTTGGAAGCATATAGCTGTGCATCCAAATATGCATTTGCACGAACACTGAACAACCTGAATGAGATGTACCTTAAACAGGACTTGAAGATTGTGAACTTTGATATAGCCTACATAAATGATAACTGTTTCTGGTCATCCAACAATGGCGACTGTTTGGTACTTATGAGGATATGTTTCTATGCTTCCAACCTACTGTGCCTGTCTCTGTGTCCTATGCCATAAAGATAGGTTTTATAACCTTGAGGTGATTAATTGATTCTCCATAACCAGATTCTCACAAATCATCTGATATAGAAGATTGTAAGTGATATGCAGTATCTGCTTCTTACTTTTAGATAGTTACAAAATAATTGTTATATAAATGATTTAATTAGTTATTTCAAAAACATGCCAGTTCTGTAAAAACTTATTAGCATACTTCCCTTTCAGCATATAACTACTAACATGGCAAAACTGCTCATGAGCACAAATGCTTATAGAGGTACAAATTATTGTTCATAATGGCCCAAAATATTTCTAAACTAGTATTACTAGTTAATTTGTGCCTCAAAAGAAAGAAAAAGAGCAAAAATTGTGTATGTGAACCATGCAAAATTCAATTCCAAGCGTGGTAAGATGCAGGATTCTTCTAGAATATAGAACAGTGGTGCTCAACCTTTTTACCCAGGGGGCCAGTTGGGCAGTGCTTGGTTAGTCCAATCTGGTGCCTGGGGCAGGTGCAGTGGGCATCATCCAGCCATGTGGTAGAAGGTGGGGGCAGCCCAGCTCCACTGGGGGCTTTGGGAACAGGGTTTCTTAAGACTCACTCCTTCTCTGGTTCTGGAGCAACGGCTAACAAAATGCTGTAGGTATTGGCTATTGTTTACAATTTCTTTGTAAAAGTCATGAGTTTTTAGAAATATATGTTCAGAATTTAGATGACAGTTTCCACCAGATTCTAATAATTTATCTGCACTTACTTTTAGTATGTTACTTAAACACATATTAATTAGTTAATGACTTCAGTTACATTTAACTTTCAAAATATTGGATGGCTTTTTATACGCATTCAACATGGGCCTAACTCTGGTCCAATTGAAGTCAATGGAATTTTAACACTGAGTTCAGCTTTGGCTTACATGCTCCCACTGAGTGCTTTGGAAGATGATGCCCATCATATATATTAAGGGTTGACCTGTGACCCTATAGAACAGCTTCAATAGATGGCATTTTATAGCTGTACTGCCCCAGGAGTGGGGCAAGAACTTGACTGACACTAAGATTCACAATCTAATCAATTGTCCTCTTTTAACCCCAGTATACCTCAACTGTAAAATGAGGGTTATGATATAAGGGCATGGTGGGCTTATGTTATTAGTATCTGGAAATGCACTTTAAGATTCATGGATTGAAGGCACTTATATAAATGTACTTTAATTCAAGTGGATCATGACTGAATAAAATAATAGCTATTTATAAAAAAATTGTATAAAATGTACAGCTTTTTACTTTACTTTTTAAAATGCTGTCCACCTTTCTAATTGATAGGCAGTTACCATCATGTACTTGTCTGTCATAGAAATATACATCATGCTATAGTTAAAGGTGTTTGTTTATGTGCAACGGTTATTCTAACATGAATCTTCGTTATAAGGCTATCCTAGAAACGACTGGAAGTCAACTTCGTCCTAGGTCACATAGGATCCACTGAAAACCTTGACAGCTTCCCTTTATTAGGTACCTAACTGAAAACATCTTTATAGAAAAGAAATACTGAATTTATAATGGAATTTATAAAACTTTTGTTCCTTGCATATAGTACATGCCATTGGGATAATTTAAACCAGGGGTTGGCAACCTATGACTTATGGGCCTGATCCAGCCCATGAAGAGATGCGATCTGGCCTGCAAAGGTTTGATCTGGCATGTGGCAGTGATCAGCAGTGCATGGCAACATTCTGCAGTAAGGGGGATTGGTAGCACATGGTAAATGGGGCAACCGAATGGAACCACCTTACTGAAGTTGCCTCTTGTCTCACCATGGTATCCACTGTTTGTACAGGAAGGGCAATTGGCAGCACACAGTAATGTGTGCTGCCACGCAAACACAGGAGTTTGTGTGGCAGTAGCAGCTGCAGTGCAGGATGGGGAGGCGGCAGAGTGCCCACCAGGTTTGGGAAACACTGGTGCAGAGCAACATTCAGTGGCACATGGCAGCAGGAAGATGGAAAGGGCAGTGGCTGCGTTGCAACTGGCAGCTCACCTTAGAATGAAGCCGTATTAGTTTGGCTTGCCCTTTGTAGAAGGTTGCCAACCCCTGATATAAATAATACTGCATGGCAATGTATGTTTATGGCTTCAGAAAACAATTTGCGCAGCATCCAGGCTCTACAAAACCACCTATAATAGCCAGCAACCAAAACTGTTATGTGATGTTACTCTTTTGGGCTGTTGTGCAAATCATAATATTTTCTATCATACTCTTAACATCTGTGCCTACCAGACACAATTTGTTCTCTGAGTCAACAGACTCCCATCACTAAGAGTGTAGTGAATCAAAAAGGATTAAAGATGTAATAATACTTACTGAAGGACATTCCTTTTGCAGATTGTATTCTTGACCAATAATTTCTTGTATTGTGTTTAGAAATGAATTGAAGGTAACAATAGATACATTTATCCATAATGTCCAAAGATACTGGATAAGCTATTTATATCTTTCTATCATTGTACTGTATACCTATTAAGATGACTATAACAAGAAATATAAATGGCCTTGTATTGCATGTGTAATATATGCAATTAAAATGTTTGACATATAATTTGTTAATGATATAATACATTAGCTGTTCCTAACTTTATGTTCAAATCAAGAGAGAGGAAAGGTTAGAAAACATGGGAAGTTTCCATTTATATTATATAATATTTAATTGCCAAAATTAGCAATTAAAAAGATAGCTGGGGGTTTGATCTAGAGCTCACTGAAGTCAGTGGAAGGACTCCTCTTAATTTCATTGGTCCTTAGATGAGGCCTCAGATGATGGCACACCTTGTGCCATCTCATCTGTCTGATCTGGTAGCACTATAAAATGAGAATTAGGAGACTTTCACTCCACAGTCAGAATGCATTATTCCATTGAGATACAGAAACAGATAAATTATAAATGGACACAACCTGACAGGTCACATATCTCATCTCTCTGCTAATACAGACTTGCTCTCTACAGTACAATTTCGGGTGCTATAGATGCATGGAATACTTTAAAATTTGTCACCTGGGCTGTCAGTACTTCCCTTGGGAGACTTTTCCAAAATCTAATTATCAGAGAGAAAGAAATTACAAGCATTTGCAAAAGAAGTCTCTCAGAGTACATGGTTAACAAAAAAGTCTTGGCATCATTCTTACAAAAGGCTTTGACAGTAGTGGCAACAGAGGAAAGAGGAGTTTAAGGGACAAAAACACTGCTCCCCAAAATGGTGCCTTACACCTTATCTGGGCTACACTCAGAACACAGGAATTTCCATACACCAACCTAGCTGGTCTGGTGTCCAGGACCAGTTACTTCAGAGAAAGGTTAAGGAGCTGTAGTAAGTAGATATAAACATGACAGAAAGAGCAAAAAAGATTCTTCATGTAGCTGCTTGAGAAATCAAGGTAGAAGGGATTATGTTCCAAAAGAGATTTTTTTTGTCTTGAGGAGTATCTCATTTTTAACATTTAAACTGTTAGAACTGAAAACACAGAGACATGAAAGGACTATTATAACATCTGTTTATAATACAGTCTTCTTTCTTTCGGTCTAGACTTACATTATTAATAAAAGGTCATATTCCACCTTGCCACAGAAAATATTTAAACATCAACATTCAGTCATACATGGGGACAGTTACACAAATAGATACACAAACTTAGGAATGTTTCACTGAAGTCAGTGTTTCCAGGGTCATTTAACCAGCTAAGAATCTTATCGATATATATTAAAATTGAATACCTTTTTATGTGCGTCTTTTCTGATAACAAAGCTCTCTTTGTATTTAAAATTATTTTATTGTTAAGGTTGTAACTGAGTTTCCATGATATGTTTTGTGAAATTGCTGTTATCTCCACTAAAATTCACACACTAAAGAATATTTGCAGAGAACTGGATTGTCTGGGTCTTGGATTCAGCTAGAATTTTTATACCAAATTGAAATTGAAATGGATAATGGAAGAATACAAATAGCTGTTGCTAAATTATTTTAGGGTCTTGTTCCCCTTTACCCATTTAGATCACATTTATGCTGCTTCATCTACCCTCCCAGTATGGTCCAGAGCCCTCCCTGGCCTACTCTTCTTCCTATTATCTGGATGTTCCCCACATACACCCACTTGCAAAGTACAAACTTTTTTTTTCACAATATAGTCTAGTATTGTAAAATGTCATTGTTTCTGTACCTTTGTGGTCCTACAGCTCACCCTCCCTCCCTGACTGCACCATTCCTCCCAACCTGCCATCCTGAAACCAGACTCCCTTGGACACCATGCACAACCTCAGCTTATCTTTCTCATGATCTGCTTGCCTGATATGTTCCAGAAGCCTCTGTACATGTATCTCTGAACATAATTTGTGCAGTTACAACTGTCTCTCTCAGTTGCCTACAGTACTACATTAAAGGTGGTTCTGCTGCTTCTTGAATCAGGAAACCACCCATGGAGCAGCCTGGCACTGGAAACATGGCGGCCGTGGTGGGGTGTCACCTGACTGCTCTTGTAGCCTATCAGTTGCAAATCACTATACTGCATAAGTATGGGACATAATGTCTCAAGAAGCAGGGTGAAACTTGTTAAAAAAAGCAAATTTAAGGCCTTCCTCAGTCCATCTGTGGAGAGACAGTAGATGGGGAGGTAAAAGACTTATGTGTAACTTAAAAATATTCTCAAAATATTTTTGTAACTCCACATTAGAATTAACAAATTGTTGAGGTTTTTGTTTTGTTTTTGGTGTGCGAATAGAATTAAAAGTGAAAAAAACCTGGAGCTTTGTATTTAGAATTAGGTGCTCAATATCCAGCTAAAGCTGCATGCAAATTCTATCCAATCTTTTATAGCCACTTTATCCAGTCTTTATAGATCCTACTAGAGACAGTTATATTTTGTGGTTTGAGTGAGAAATGATCACATTGTGACTTCTCTTTTAACTCTGGCCCTCGTGAATGATATATTATAGAAAATGTATACAGAATATTGTTTTATGAGTTACGAA